TGGTTGCCATACGGTTCATCACTGGCATCCCGAAGCTTTTGCACACTGAAAGTTGCAAAACATGGCAAAGCCATTCTGTCTTGATTTATAATATATAATATATATTTAATAAATACTTGCCATCTTCCTCCCAACCTAGTTCTATAGTACACGTAGGTTGCTCCACGTGTCAGCAACCAGAACTCTGAGTTTAGGGGGAAACTTTTGGAGCTTTTTCCCCCGTCGCGCATGGCGGTCCCAAAGCGCCGAGCGGAGGACGGCGAGAGCTTGGCCGATTGCTATGACCGCGCTTGGAGCTTTCTGGAATCCTTGCGGCGCTCCTTTCAGGCGCCGCGCGGAGCGCGAACATGATTTTATCATAAGTTTCTCCACTCTCACGCTGGGTTTGGGAGTGGTTTCAGAAAGAACGTGTTTTTTTTTTCCATGGCGTTCGTGTGTGTCTGTGTCTTCCCGACGACTATAATTTTCCTCCCAGGAACCATGGTACTTAGCAAACAACAAGTAGGTTTGACACAGATCCGTTTGGGTATGCCAAGTTGCTATGTACCAGAACCCGGGTCAGGGGTGTCCATGAGGTTGCTCCGTAAGAGGTCATTCTGGGTGTCCACTAGCCCCAAACCGGGGAGCCTATTGGGTACTGTGTGATGTACTTTCCTCTCAGATGATGTGAAGTTTTGAACCCTAGGCTTCCGTTCGACCACTTAAGACATGGGAACGACATGGTGTCGTCCTTCTCAGACTCCTTTAGTAGAAACATTCCGGGCTATTGAAACCAAATGGTGGGCGACCGGAAGCCTAACGGGAAATACACCGACTCGGAGCCATCCTTCATCCAACAGAGTCATCCTCGATATCCTTTGACTCCTTCAGGCAGAGACCGCAGCAACTTGGACAGACTGAGAGGGCGAAAAGACGCCATGTCGACGTGGGGTGTGAGCCATGGACATGTCGATGTTTGATCCGGCAGCGTTGGTGTAAGCAGTATGACGCGAGCTATGACGCGCCTAAGGTGCTATTCAATTGTTTGTTCATACGTTTTTCACCCAGAAGACAAGTTTATTGACATGTTTTGAACATTCGCAGTGGGAAGGTGCCCGCTGGGATTCAAAGACTAGGCAAAAACAGTGTTTAGGGAACCTGGAAGGGGAACTTCTTTTGCTTCGAGCTTCATTACTAAGGCGAAATGTAGTAGCCTTGAGTCTCCAAAGACCTGTTTTTTAATGCATTTTTGTTTTTGGTCCGATAGTTTTTCGCTTTTGCTCGAAAAACGCGTTTTCAGAGAGGACTCAAAAAATAATACAGAATGAATCTTCATCCGGACGCGTCCGGTGCGGACGCTTAAAGACGCCTTTTGGACGCAAAAAGACGCGTTTTGGACGCCGAAAAAAGGTCTCAGGACACTGTCTACTTAAGGAGGATCTGACAGGGCACAAAAAAAAGGAACATTTCGTGACATATGCCTAATAAAGTGCTTTCTTTCTTGGAAAGGCAAATTTAAAAGGGTCATTGGCTTGGCCCGGGGGATGTGAACCATTCCAGGCGATTCCAGCGATCTGCGACGGTGCCTGCCATGTCGACCGCTGCGAGCCCCATTCTCGCTATTTGGGGATCCCTACGGCTAGAGTTTTCAGACAGGATCTCATCATTCCCGCCAAAAGGTTTGGTCACCTGGCAGAGAACCTGGAAGGTTCTGCACATGTTTGGTCTGACTCATCTGCGTCGCAGATGGTTTCCGGTGTTCTTTCGCCGAAGGGTCGAGCGGAATTGGTCCGGATCCAAGGAGAACCTGTTGGTGGTTGGCCATGGGAACATGCTGGTGGCCAGGCGCCCAAGGAACACCGGCGAGACCGCGCGGAGAGACCGCACGGAGACCCGTGCGCGGGAGGTTTGCAGGGCGTTCCTTCTTCCTTTGGAAGAAGGGAAAGGACTCAGCCGACCCCTGGAGCCAGGTGTCTCCTTCATTCTCCTCCATTCAAATCACTAGGAGACCCACTCCCAGGTGTGGTTACGACGTCATAGACTTCCTTTCTTGACCCACTCCTCAGCCCAGAACGAGGTGTGTATTTTTGATATTATAGTGGATTGAGAATAGATAGCACAGACCCCAAGAGGTGGTTTATATGGACCCCCATCTAAAGGACATCGTGGGGTTTGTGTCATTTACTCTGAAACCACTGTACTTTTTCCGGATGGAATTTGTATGACGATGTTCGTGTCGGAACAGCGACCGGCGAGTTTTTGTCTCTTGCGGATGTTCTCTCATTCTTAGAGAGGCCTGCACAATCCATATCATCGGAAGGAAACTAATACATTAATATCAATCAATCTATGACACTCTATGACCATCGATGACTAAAAGAACCCCTACAAAGCCCCCAGTGATTGGATCTGTAAACATGCGAATCACAGTCCATCATCATCATCATCATCATCATCATCATCATCATCATTCCGGAGCGCCCCCAAACTTCGCCATTGGACCATTCGGACCATCCAACCTTATTAAGCCGGGCGCCAGCTGATCACCTGGTGGTGGGCGCCAGCTGATCAGGTGATTTTTCGATTTTCCCGGTTCCCGGTGAAATCCCAAATGAACTCCCCTCACCTGGGGGATGTGTTTCATGTTTTCCAGGTTTCTGGTTCGCACATCCAAGCCCATTGAAAAGGAGCATGTTTTTGTCAAACTTGCAAGGTCTTGCTAATGTGCCTCTTCCAGATCAAGGTCAGCGAGTTCGTAGCCCGTCTCAAACTGGAGAAGACGGCGCAAAGGGTGGTGATGGGGGAGGGAAGATTAACAACACATGACATAGGTGACAGTTGCCTGTAACAGTTGCCTGTATAGGGAAGATTATACCCTAATTATATGCTGGTGACAGTTGCCTGCAAAAGTGATCAATACACGACTTGGTCGAAATAGTTTGAACATGTTGTACATGTAGAACTCAAACCCATTGATTGTTTTGGGCTGACAGGACCTGTGCGGGTGGTTGGCGACTGGCTGCGAACAAAGAAGCCCTGAACAATGGTGTTCATCTTAAATTTGCGACACAGGCCTGAGGATTGATATACAGTATATATATACGTACAAGTACTTGATATGTTTTTTGGCAATGTTTGTGGGAGGATATGGGAGATAGGAGATTGAAGCATCAGGGCATTAGGTTAAAAGTTAACAATCTGGTTTCTTAATTGATAATGTTTAGTCCAAGCTGAGTTTCCGGAGCTGGTCCGACCCGCCGCCTCTGGCGGAGGCTTCAATCCGGCCCCTGGAAAATGGTGAGCTTCTTGTTTGCAGCGCCGAAGCTGGGCAGCGCCAGACGAACGACGCGGCAGAAAGAAGCTGCACGAAAGCTGGACTCGAGCTCAGGAAGAGCTCGGCGTCTGATCTATCCGATGTGTAGCCATGAGAGAGGTTCACTCCTATTTCGGAAAGACCTTTGCTAACCCCTAGGGCTCCAACCACCTGACCACGTGGTTGGGGTGGGTGCCAGGGGGGGTCTAACCACTGAACCTGAGGATATGGTTGGTCCTCCACTGTGACAGGGAACTCATGTGGTCGTGTTTGTGAGGCCGCCGGAAGCCGGAAGCGGTTCAGCAGGTGTTGATCAAACGTTGCGGGAGAACACCTGTAAACCTGTGCCGTTGCAGTGCTTTTCTTCGGAAATAGCTTCGGAGCACCAGAAACTCAGCAGCTGAAGACTTTTGATGTGTATAGATGTGGATAAGATCAATAGATATCAGGCGTATCCAGATCTTGGTGCATTCAGCTCATTCAAAAGGACGGCTCCTTTTTTCAAGATAGCGAAGTCTTATGACCAAAAATGGTTTCCCTCAAGTACTCCTAGTGACACGCAGGGCTTTTGCACATGAACCAGCTCAACAAGAACAAAAGTGAAGCCAAGGCAACCACACACACAAAGCGCAACTTTGCTTGTGTTAGCTTTGGTGTTTTTCTTTTTAGGGTTTTGAGAGTGGTTTTGAGTGGGGTTGAGGCTGAAAAGCACCTCTCCCAACCTAAGCCACTGCAAGCAAGCTGAGGTTTGCTGTTTGTGAGCGAGCGGAGGACGAGCGTTTCTAATTGGGATGCTCAGGATGTGCGTATGGCCTGCAGTTCTCCCAGCCATGGCCAAGCCGGAGTTCCGAAGTGCCATAAGTGCGTGATGGAGACAACTACAACCCTGACGAACGCATCATATGGAAGTGGAAGGCACCCCTTGGAAGACGCCTCTACACTGCAGCGGGGGGGTTCCACTTCCATGTGATGTGTTCGTTGTTTCGTGTACCACTTCGCCTAAGACAAGAGTGCAGCGATCGTTCGGAGTCCAGTTCGAAAAGATTCGCAAGTGTTTCAAAACAAGTTCCCTCTCCAGAACTCAATGCTGTTGGACTCTCCTTGGTTCAATGGGCCATGTCAATTGATTGCTTGCAAGATGAAGGGACGCCAAGCTGTGAATACCTTTGAAGCCGATTTGTATGACAGTAACTAGGTGACCGTTAACAATGTTTGTCCAAAGGTGCGCACTATTGCAGTATAGGCCAACTGTATAGGTAAACAGAGAACCACCCGGGGCGGTTCCCTGCCGAGTGTGCTCGGTCGTGCCGAATGCTTTGTCGCTTGGCTCAAGCCGTGCCGAAAACCCCGGACTGGACTGCTGTTTTGATAGGCCCTACCAGGAGACCCGTTCAGGGGTGCCAATGATATGGGGATGCCTTCTAACCACCCCTTAGGGTCCAAAACAGTGCCGGGGGTCTCCTGGCATGCATCAGCAGGCAGGTCAATTTGGAGAAGCGACGCTTCGAAGCAACGAGCCAAGCACGTGGCCAGCACGTGGCCCTACACAGATGGATTTGCGCCTACACAGATCTCTTTGAGATATTTTGAGATGCATATGTTCCAACCTTTTGACTTTACAATGTTCTTTTGTTGTTTCTCATCTTCAACAGCCACGGCTCAAAAGACCTCCCACGGCTCAAAACAGCTCCCACAGAGCGAGCCCGCATGTTCATTGTTCGATCACCCCGGTCGTTGCTGCCCGAAAGATGTCGTTGGCCCTCGCCCGAGATCAAGGGGTGAGATGGGTGCTGTTTGGCTGGAGCATTTTCACTGCAGAGAATCTGGTGATGCAACCCGTTGGCAGCGAACGGTCGAACGGTGCTGTTTGGCGGCTTTGAAGGGTGTTTGGTGCCCTTTTCCCAGGCAGTCCATGTAGAATTTCCTGTCTTCTTTTTGTCTTCATTCTCATTCCTTCATTCATTTTAATTCTTTTCATTATCTATCCATGTCCTTCTTTTGTATTCTTTCTTGCTCTTATCTTCCTTGATTTTCTTAGTCTATTATTTATTACTCTCATCATTATTCTTCTCATCTTCTCTTGTTATCCCTTTCTTCTACTCATTCTATAATTTATTCTCTTCATATCTCTTATTTTCTTCTTCTTTTTACATCCTCTCTTCCTCTTCTTTCTTTCTCTTTTCTTCTTCTATTTTTTTAATTATCTAATTATTCTCACATCTTTCTTTGTTCTCATTTTCTTCTTTCATGTAGAATCATTTACCTACATTGACCCTTAAGATCCCCCATCATTGCCCCAATGTCGTAGGCAAAATACATGATGGTTGGGGGATTTGTTCATCCTCATTTGATGGTCTTGCAGGCCCAACACCTCCAAGAAACACCAGCTTCATTGGACTCGTTAGACATGTTTTGAGGAGTTACAGTGGCGCAGTGGAAGGTTTTACCCTCTGATCACCCACATGATCTAACATGGAAGTGGAAAAAATTGCGTTGTGGGAAGACGATGTTCCTCTACCAACTGGGGGGGAGAGTTCACTTCCATGTTAGTGAGTGTGTCAAGATGAGGAACCATTTGCGGTCTTCACCTCGAATTCTGCCATTGTTCTAAACATCTAGACCGCCTGGCTTCTTCAGATGCCTCAAGAGACTTGTTGATCTTCGGTCCCTACACCACACCATCCTTGATGGGCTGTGAGCCCAAAACCTGGAGCCCCTGACGCCCCCCTGCGTCGACTGAGTCCAGGTGGGTTCACCACCAGATGTTAAAAAAAAACAAGGAAACATATAATGAGCGGTCCCATTTTGGCAAACCATGGCTGATTCATTGTAAAACGATAAAGAGTAAAAACACAAAGAGATAACAAACATATAATACAATACCAGCAATACATTACATTAGAGATTTGTGTTTCATGTCAAGGTTTCATGTCAAGTGTTTCATGAACGGTGTACCTCCTTATGGTTTGGAGGGTCCAGTCATACCGAACCTGAGCAGGTACCACTGGAGCCCTAGTAGGTAGTAGGGGTTCTGACCCATTCGGAGAGGGAGATCCAACGGCACCCGAGGTCAGAGTACAAGACGGAGATCAAACACTACTGGGGTGGACGGGGTGGACCGACGGCCTATCAGACGATGTACAGCCCCTCGGAGTGGATTGAACGGAAAAGGTTCGACGAAAAGGAGATCGTGTTGGACGTGATTCAGAACTCAATCAGGAAAGAACTGTCCTCTTCAGAACTCAATCAGTTCTTCAGTTCGCCCTACCCGTTATTCAGAACTGTCATGTCGTGTATCCACTCTGCTGCACGTCTGGGCGGACCCTCCGGGGTCGACGGAAGCAAGCGTTCGACCCGCGATGTGCGGGCGAACTGCGGAGTCCGAACGGCACAGACCTGCGGCATGTTGCGGCTCTTGACCCACCGAACATGGAGACTATACATATATATATATATTGTGTACCGAACGGGTGGTGGTGAACTCCACTTCACCATCACCAACTGTACCATATCATAGCCGGGAAGTATGTGGATCACCTGCAAAGCCAATGCAAACCAACTGCAAAACCCTTTTGGGTGATAGATGTTGATTCAGTTCTCCGCACTAAACGCGGGAAAGTGGGCGAATCGTTCTTTTCCAGTTGAAGCGGCCCCAAGGTGGGATGATGTCATTGAATTTCTATCTTAGCCCTACCCTCTTGAAGTCACTTGAGGTTATGCACCGTGAAGTCACCAAGTAGCATAAAGTACCATTGCTCCTGGAGATGCTTCAGCTTCACCTCAAGAAAAGGCCCCCCCTGAAAGCGAAGCGTAGCGAAGCAGCGGCCAAGGTACCTTGTCAGGCTTGGCATCTCTCTCCATCTTTGCGGCGCGGCTTGGCAAATGAGGACCAGGAGGACACTGAAAAAAAGCACACGCACACACCTCTCTAGCAAGGGATGTTCTCCCACTCCCCGGTAAAATTGCCATGTTGGTCCCAAACCTTTTGGCGGAAGCTGCTAAAAACCGAGCTTGTGCTCAAGCTCAAGCCCATCACAATCGACAGAACCTTCTTAATTAGTGTTGCTTCTTGGTTTGGTGCTTTTCAATGTATTTCCCCACTTCAAGCGACCACTCAGAATTTGAAGTGGTTCTGGGTGTTTCCATTGCCACCACCGAGTTGTTAGATTTGGTTCTGGGCCAACAACTCAGCTAGGTATCTCTAGGTGGTTCCGAGTGGTTCCGGAACATTTCCTAGTGGATCCCAGTTAAACACTATAAGGATCCAGGGATTCTAGGTCTAGGGTTTTAGTCTTTGGAACCACTGGTATACCAGCTATAGTGGTAACTGGATGCCCTGGGTTTCAGAACCCCTCTTGAAACGTCCCACAGAACCCAGACATGCCGAGTGGGACTGTCATATTTACCGAGAAAAGGCCAGGGGTGGTCTGAGGGGATTTCATGTCGGTCAAGATTCCAGTCCCATGGATACGACCTGGGGTCTTTTGGAGGGCCGTGTTACTAGTAGCGATGGCCTCCAACCTAATTGCAATGGCCTCCCACCTAATAGCGATGGCCTCCACCTAGTAGCTTCTAGCTACTAGTAGGGCTTGCATTTGACATGTCGAGAGATGCGAGGTACTGGCGCTTTGCTCGCTTCGGTCTCCAACTGCCTCCCCCCAGCGGGTCGCGACGCCTTGTGGGCTTGGTGGGGCGTGTGCTCGGCCTGGGCGCCTTAGGCGGGGCATGCCGGGGCGGACAGAAACGACGAGGTTGAAATTGGGAATTTCATGGAATTTCACGGGTTAGGTTAGACGACATGTTTTGCGAGCTGCTTAAATGAATGTATATAGATTATAGTACGTGATAGGTTTCAGTGGGATGTTTTCGTTTATGTTGATGGTTGAGGCTTCAAACGGGTGGACATTTGCTGGGTCGAGAGGATGGATATGATATGAGGTTGCCCACGATGGTGATCGTGCATTTTGTAGATGGCTTCTTGCTGGAACAGCATCGCAAAACTGGATCGTCGATGTTCTACTAACCAACCAAAGGACTAGAATCTCAAAAAGGGACGTAGTAATACTATTATATAATATCTATTGTCTATCTATCTACTGCATCTACCTACCCATCAATCCCATTATAAATCCAGCGGGTCGCGAGCTACCCACCTACCTACCCACCTCGATGGTGGACGACTCATCTACCTATCACCCTGCAGGTAGGTCGGACATCCATCGCCGTCCGGTCGACGGTCGAGCGGCCAGGTCAGCTGCTACCGCCGATCAATGTCACTGCCTTGGAGATCGCTTTAGGTTTACGTCCCCAGCCGCCACAGCACTTGCCCCCGCAAGTGCGTGGAGCCACCTGCCTTGGGGCCGGACGATGCGTAAAGGAGGCGTTGGATGTGTGGGAAGATGTGTGGTTCTTAGATGGAAAGAAGGACGGTGCGACGGGTTTCCTTCTGTGATGGTTTGCTGGTGACATTGGGTGACTAAGTTGAAGCAGCAAGCATTGTTGGCTGTTTGACGAGGTACTGTAGCTGTAATGACGTTTCTTGGGGCATGGCAAATTGGCCGGAAGGAAATGGACAATGGACGTATGCTTGGCCTGACACATGTCAAACGGTTTCTTGGAGTCTGCTTGCTTCTCACTATCAACCCTGCCCCAAACCAACATGGGAATGGGCTTGGAGGATGTTCGCCTTGTTTCTTGGTAGTTGCTGGCGTGGCATGGGCAGACACCTTGGTCGCCATCTCTGACTTCGTTTGACTCAGGCTTTCCCAGTGAACCCTTGGTTGATAGGAGGCGATCCGGTCACCGAAAGACTAGTACATCTCAGTACATGAAGTTCATTTCTTGAGGGGTTTCCTAGTTTTCGCATCCTTTCGTATCTTCTAGCTGTCTTCACCTCCAAGGCAATGGCGTGCCCCTTTGACTTCAATGCTCATGCAGGGCGTGGCGAGGCTAGCAGCGGTGGGCATTGTGCAGCTAGATGGGCTGTAAGAGCTTCCAAGGGGCTCCCTGACCACAGTTACACAGGTCACCAAAGGGAATAGCATGGAATAGTATGTACCAGCTCACGGCAACAGAACAACGACAACCTACTATTTCCCTGATTTGGCCTTTCGGTTTTTGCCGTTCGTTCCTCCTTTTGGCCGAAGCACGCAGGTCTTTGGGATCACCCGTGTGTCGCGGCGTCCGGAACTGGTCGGCTTGGGCTTCTATGGCCTGGCAGGGGCCTTGGTGGCCACCACCGGAACGCAGGCGCCGCCGGCGGAGAAAGGGTGGATGAGGGTGATGGAGGCTGGAGTAGCTTGGAGTGCTGGAATCGCTTAGCTGGAATCCGTTGGAAAGAGAGTGGCGGCGGAGCTGGGCGAGCTGCCCGGAGGGTGAATCTGATGTGCCGCTGTTGTGAATTGATCAGCTTTTTGAGCTGTAATGTATAAATGAGACTCTTGATTAATACACCCCCGCTTTTGAATTGAAACACCTCCTATTTCATCAATATAATTCAATATAATAAAACGTCCATGTGAAGAGGTTTCTCAATCCAAACGGTATAGAGGTTTTTGTATTAAGATTCTACATGACTTGGGTCCAAAGATGCCCTTGACCGAGTGGCTGGCGACCGTCTTGCAGAACATCAAAGTTGGGGGAAGAGCAGATTGGGGGGGTCCTCCCGATTCCAAATCGCCTTTGAGCAACAAGTCAACAAGTGGAGCAACGACAGATGCTTTTCCCAGACGCTCCACGTGACTGGCCATATATACCTACATTGCGATGATTTTCAGGGGGTCAATGTGTGTCAGGAGCAGGTTTCAGGCATGAATACCAGGGAAAAAGGGACTGACATTATCCCAACACCAATGGTGGAGTGTCCGGGCACGCGATGCTTAGCAGTACCTGTTGTCACCTGGCCTGGAAGCTTTGAAAACCATGGATCAACAGCCATCGCGCAAATCCCGTTCATCAAGTGTGTTCCACCAAGATCCTTACCAAACCATCCATGAGACTTGGCCTATATATCTACATTGGGATGCTTTCAGGGGTCAATTGATCGGCATATGTTTCAGTCCGGATGGTAGGTTTGGGTGTCATCCAGTCTCTCAGCCCTGCTAGGTCGCCATGTGGGGTATCGGCCCCTTGGTATCCTTTAGCATCCTTGCAATTCATAGTGCCACTCGGCTTTCCAACAGAGGTTGAAGAACCCTAGTTCGACTACCCTATAGGTACCCCAGGTTACGGGTCCTAGTTCAGGTCACTTAACCTCTGTTGGTTATCTCCACACTGCAGTCCTTTTTTTCCGCAGGGGACTGTGAGAGTGCAGTTTGTTTTTTGGGGGTTTCTGCTTTAAGGACATCTGCCTGAATGTTCTTTGTTTGTGTGCAGTCTGTTCTTTTTTTGGGGGTGGGCAGCCAAACCCAACCCGGTTCCATTTCTTTGCCAGTCGACCACTTCCTCCTGAGTCGACTGGCACGTCCAGTCGAGGATCGCGTGCAGAGACGCGGTGGCGAATTGTCCCAGGAGAAGGAGCAGTGCCTTGGTGAAGAACTGCGGGTTTCCAGATGCTATGGACGGATGTGGATGAAAGACACGGGCAAGTCAACGCAATTATAGTATTATATAAATCTATTATTCATTATATGTCGTTTCTTTTGTGTGTGCATTTCGTCGCTCAAATAACAAGACATACACATAAACAATGGACATAATGTTGGATCCTGATTAGCAAAAGCGGGTCCCTCCCTCAGCTAAACAAATGGGAGGTCCTCTGTGATAAGCTACCGCCAAAACAGACCCGGGTTCTTGGGAGAATTCCTTTTGTATTTAATTGATTGTAGTATTAATGTTCCTTTCTCAGGCTCCTTGTAGATATTCTCAGCAATCCATTAATTTATCCGACTAAGAAGAGTACAAAGAAGGTTCTCAGGTTGCCTGCGGGAACTAGAGAAACCTATATATACCCTACACTTCAACGGCCTCAATATTTGTGGCTGTTACAACGGCCGCAAAACCTTACATGAGTCCCCTTTGGACGGCTGGCTGTCCAAGCTCAAGTCCCCTTTCGCCGCGCCGCTCACAGATCAAGACATAATGCGCAGGTGACGGTGACATATGTCAAAATGATAGATCCCTATTTTCAAAGGATGGTTCAGCTTCAGCACTGATCTTTGAAAGCGCAGCTTTTCAAGAGCCAGGGACTTAATGACTGACGCAAAATAGACCAGAATCTTTGAGGGCCCACTCATACCTATTCCATGCCTGGCCTAGGGAAAAAAAGAACTGAAGCACTCGGAGGTGCGCCACTCTTTGCCCAGCACTGCAGTGGCTACTAGACTCACAGTTGTTTTCACACGCATCCTAAATTTGATTCAGTGGCCCTGACATTTGGCTTTGAGAAACAGCTGGCCGCTTCGATCTGTTTTCTGCGCTGGGAAATGCAGCCCGGTTCCAGTGAGAATCGCTCGACGCTCCTGAAGGCAGGCGCATTTGGAGAAATACTTTGTGGGGTGGGGTGGGGGTGCCCGGGAGCCCGCCCATGTCGCAAGGCCTTCTATGAGGATTGGTTGAGCAATGAGGACTACATCACAGAGCGTTTCTACAAGCTCGCTGTGAAGTCTTCGATTCCCAAAGTCAAAGTTGAGAAGCGGATTGCGTGTGGTAAGGTGGGACCACAAAGAATCACAAGTAAAAGTCCTAGAATCCGTGCGTAGAGTCGGCGTAGAAACCCACTTGTGCAGGCACCTTGTACTTTCAGCTTCGTGGATGTTGACAGTAAGGGGAAAGTCAGCCCCGAAACGGCCCAAACCTAAATGTCAAATTGCCATTGGTTCTAAAGACGTATAGCCCATGCAGCAACAGCCCAGGTCCAGGATGATGTCAACCACGCTTTCTTGTTAGATTTCTTGGCAACCTTCGCGGCAGACCTTCCGAGAGTTTCAGAGATGAAGGCAAGCCAAGCTGGTCACCGAAACATATGATTCCTTTATAATTTATGATGGCAGGCAGTGCTGAGCTCTGTCGCCAAATCCTGGGGATACAGGATTGTGTCCAAATCTGATGAGCGCGACGAATTGCAGGACAGGCTTGTTATAAGAGCCATGCCATGCATGTCATGTCGACCGATTTCCAACATTGGGCTAAATCATTGACCTTCAAAGGACTGGGCTGAAGAGGAAGCTAAGCTACAACTTGGATTGGCCCGGTATGTGATTCGAAGAGCTTTCAAAAATCGTGGAGTGAGGTGGGGGTCCTTCCGATACATAAACCCGTCGTCCTGCTCCATTGGCCAGGCATGGACACACCAGGATGGAGGAGTTGAAGAGCCTGGTCAAATCGATCCGTCCAGGCTTGGGCAATCTTTCGGGCCGGTTCTAGGGGTACTTTAAAATCTTAACTTCCCACGTCCCACGTTGTTGTTAATGTCACGCACGACCATGCGCAGAACCGAATGTGAAGATGATCCGGAAGCCAAAGAGCAAGGATGGTGAAGGTGTGAGTTCTGAGGTGGATGAAAGCGGGAAGGAACCACCAGAAGAGACAACAATAGCTGACACGTTCAAGTCAGCCCCCTCAGCTGATTTAGAATCTGATACCGAGTTCATCACCACTCCAACGCCAGAAGCCGTGGCTGAGGCCATTCCTGAGGTACCTCATCAGGTACCTAAACCGGAGCCTGAAGCCATCCCGCCCGCCGTTCCTCATGAGGTACCTAACCTGCAGCCTGAAGTCACCAAGGCCGTTCCTGAGGCACCTAATGAGCCTGAAATTTCTTCAGGCTTGACGGCTGAGATGGGAGACTTGAGCTTGGAGAGCCAACCGTCCAAAGAGAACCTTGTAGCTGCTCAGGAGGCTCAGCAGTCCAAAGTCGCTGGGCCCCAACTGATCGAGCCTGTGGTTGAGAACGTGATTGAGCTTGAGGATTCCCAACCAGTTGCTCCTGAAGTTTCCCCTGCCCCCGAGCTGGCTCAGGAACCGATCGAGCCTGTGGTCAAGGTTGAGGAGGTGATTGATGATTCCCAATCAGTTGATCCTTCTGAAGTTTCTCCTGCAAACCAGACCAAAACTTCCTGCCACGTACCAAGGATTTGAAGCTTCTGGATATTTTCTGTGGCGCTGCTGCTATGTCTACTGCATGGGGCCGTGCCCTCAACAACAGTTTTCCAAAAAAAGTGGGAAGCATGCCTGCAGAACTCTTGTTGCTGGTGATCCCACCAATGGACCAAGTGGCTTGGAGATTTTGACCGCGTGAGGCGAAAAGTCCAGGAAGTCGCGGGAACCTGAGATGTCCCAAGATCTCAACAAATCTTAAAACACCTTTCTGGACGAGTGGCACTTCTTTTTCTGCTACTTCAATATTAAATTGCTTCTCACTCGGGGTCTGATTAAATTGAATGTTGCCAATTGAGGGAGAAGTATGACGTGGAACTTGGAGAGCACTGTGACCTATCCACGACGTCTGGGCCCCATGAGTATATACCAGCTACAAAAAAAATAGGGACAACTACGCAACAGTTGGCCCTATTAATTGTTTCTTCACTATCGGATCATCCGTGCTCAGGCAAGGCTTCAAAAACTTGCTCCACATGGCCTTGCGCTTGGAAGAGGACGCGCTGGCCGTATGCGGCCTTCCATGTACGTCCTACGTTTTCATTAACAGTGGCACACATGGCCGGAAAAAGGCTGTACCATACGGGGACGAAAACAAAAGCTATGTTTGCACTGCAAACTTGTTCCTGGTACTGCTCTTAGCATATTTTTTATAGTAGAGTGGGTTTGCAATTTGTACTTCAAGAGCAGCAGCATACTTGCCAAGTTTCCGTCAATGTGACCAAGCAAGTGACCAGCGCAGCGCCAGTCGTCCAGCCCAGGCTTACAACCCGTCTCATCTTCGTCCTCATGCTGCTTTCGGTGAGGTCTTGTTTCTGGTTCATTGAACAGCCTGGAAGCAGCCGGCTGATTCACCACCCTGAACTTCTTTACTTGTTGGACCTGCTCAACAAGTTCGTTCACGAGACCTCCTTTGTTAGATTGCCCTTTCCTAAGTTCCCACATGAAAAAACATGTCAGCCTGTGTTCTTGCTGAAATCGGACAACAAGCAACAAGACTGCCGCTCAGTTTTATGGGATGTTGGGGCGCCAAAACGTTGAAGCCAAGCATGGCACTTGGTCTTTGGCAGGGTGCCCAGATTTCACGGTCTCTTCACGCCCAAATGTGGTCGTTCACCCAAATCTGGGGTTGTTTCACGCTTGTTCACGGCAATTCACGCTGAGTCCTTGGATCCACTCCCTGAAGAAGAAGCTGACAAAGACGCGCCGGGCCTCACTTTGCTCAAACGGTGTGGCGGTCAAGACGGTGAACAAAACGAATGGGAAGCCGGGAGTGTGAGGGGCTCATCCAACCAGATTTTTGCAACACACCCATGATTGGTTTGAGAATCTCAACACTGCCATTTGCTGTTTGAGGAAGGGTGGACCCAAGCTGAAGATGACACAGGTATATACGATGAAGTTTGCACGTGGGGTCTATGCTTTGCATGCTCACTACAAGGCACCAATCCTCTCATACAAGGTCTTTCTAGTTAAGCGCACGCGTGGAGGCCAAGAAAATGTGTGTGCGCTACGAGCATCCATTGCAGCGGCTGGGAAAGTTCCATGTCAGAAGGCCGAGATATTGCATTTTGGTCTCCAACCCAAAAAAGGTTTCAGGCTTGGCATGAGTCCCAACCCTTTGAAATTCCAATTCTTCCAGGTACCTGGCGGCGTCTACAAGTTCTTCGCCCGTGGGAAGCTGGGGGTGCTGAGGTCTTACGTGAAGAATCAGATTCGAGAGGGTTCTTACAAGCCCGTGTTTTGAATCACGGTGTGATCTACACTTGAAATGCAAATTCATGTTGCCTGAATGCCTTTTCCAACATATACAACGGTGTTGGTATGGAAATTAATAAGCCATGTCACACGGAAGGGCTTCACTCAAGACTCGTATGATGGAGTTTGCTAAATCCCTCCAGCCTGTGCTCTCAATTTTGGTTCCTCGTCTAATTTGCTCAAACCCTTCCAGAAAGTGGCTGGACCGAAGTAGCGTGAACTACCGTGAATGAGCGTGAAACAGCCGCAAAATAGCGTGAACGGCCACAAATTTGCGTGAACGGCCCGTGAATTCTGGGTCCACAAAACCCATGTTTTTTTGCAACAATCAAGCTAGCCTTTTTGATGATTATGTTGTTCCAACTTGGCTCAAAAGCAGGCTGCAGTACTTCCTAAAGCATTTTCTCGATGCCCGACGCTGTCCAAGACGCGATTGCAAAGGCAAAGGCTCGAGCAGCCAAGGCAGCCTGTATCGCGTCAGAAGCTGAGAAAATGTTTTGGCTTCAATCGATCACACATGGACATTGTGGTGACACATTGAGGCCCCCTACACCATCGCCTAGATCTGGTGGTCAAGGCTAGCGCTCACTAAAGCCCATTTACTACACCAAAACATATCAAACGAATCGTATTTGTCATATCCGCACACTCCTCAATCCACAGAACC